CAGCTACTCGAGAGGCTGCGACAGGGGAATCACTTGAACCTGGGAGATGGAAGTTGCAGTGAGCCGAGATTGAGCCACTGCACTCCAGCCTGGGTGACAGAGATGAGACTGTCTAAAAAAAAAAGCATTTTCCAGGAGCTATGTTGATTTTCCCCATAAAGAAACACCTAGAGGCGGGGTGCGGTGGCTCATGCCTATAATCCCAGCAGGCGGATCACCTCAGGTCAGGGATTCGGGATCAGCGTGAGCAATGTGGTGAAACCCCGTCTCTACTAAAAATACAAAAATTAGCTGGAGCGTGGTGGCGGGTGCCTATAATCCCAGCTATACAGGAGGCTGAGGTAGGAGAATTGCTTGAACCCAGGAGACAGAGGTGCATTGAGCTGAGATCACACCACTGCACTCCAGCCTGGAAATAAGAGGGAAACTCCATCTCAAAAAAAAAAAAAAAAATCATCGTGACTGAAGCTCAGCGTCAGAGAAGCTGCTTCAATTGGCTCGAGACTGGGTGAAAGGGAGGGACCAGGATATTGGTGTTTGGGGTTTTTTTCCAATTGCTACAGGTGATTCCAGTTGCAGAAATCACTAGCTAAAGCAGTGGTTCTCAGCCTTGCCTGCACATTGAAGACACCTGGGAAGCTTCGACAATTGATGAAGCTACAATCTAGAGATTCTGATTTTGTCATTTAACTGACCTGCATAGGTATTTGAATTTTTCTTTTCTACAAATACACGTGTTTGGTGAGTGAGGGACAGCAGAAGGCAGAGAGATTGTGCCGAACACGGCCGGTATAGGCTTGGAGGCAGAACTCCCAGCAGGGCAGGCCAGGCAGCACTCTGGGCCTTGTAAACCCTTGGTTGGTGGGCGAGAGCCGGCAGGAGGTCTGGCCCAGGGCCGGAGGGGCCCAGGCACGCTGCAGGCTCCCTGATCCGAGGTTCTGGGTGGCATCGGTGGTGGCACCTGGGCCCAGCTCACATCACTCAGAGCCTTGCAAGGCTTGGGCAGCACGAAGGTGGCACAGTACCTGTTGGAGTTGCAGCACTTCAGCTGGATCTATGCCACCTGCTGCTGCGCCAGCAGCTGCACCTGCTCCTGGAAGTTGGTGCTCGGGTTCTGGCTGCACCGCATGAAGCCCATCTGGCCACCGGGGTTGGTGGGGATGGTGCAGCAGGCACCAGGGGGAATGTTGACTGGCAGAACTGCCGCCTCTCCTGGATGAGGTCCGGGTGCAGCCGCTGGCACTCACCCTGGCAGCCTCACCCTGGCCCTCTTCCTTGAGGGCCGTCTTCATAAGCTGGGAATAGGACTCCCTGGGGTGAATTTTGCTGGGCCCGTGGAGTCTGAGGAGTCGGTGATGGTCGCATGAAAGGCCTCCCGATTCTGTTTCATGAACTCAAAACCGTCACCCACATGGAGGGTCAGCTTCAAGCTAGACTAGCCAACAGCTACGCCCAGCAGGAACTTTCTGGGGACTTGGATGACACCCTCGACAATCTCACACTGGACAACGGACTCCGCTGAGCGGTGTGTTTCACCACCTCGAGAAGGACCCAGATGGTCAGCACCTGCTGGGGGCGGGGGGAGTCGGCTGCAGAGAGGCAGGCGGGCAATCAGCTCCTGGGAGAACTCATCCCCCTCCGTGCATTGGACGACACGTACACCAGCATATGGCCATAGGTCTGGCTGCAGGTGAGGATGTCCTGGGAGCGCAAGCACTGGGTTTGGAGCAGCTGCTGCAGCTGCAGTGACAAGGCCTGGCCGGGCCACAGGCTGCAGGTCCCGCAGAACCAGTCCTCGTGGATGGCAGCGGGCCGGAGGCAGCTGGGCCCTCGGGGCCGGGCTCCGTGATGGGTGAGGGCCGCAGACTGCAGGCTGCTCAGAGCCCAGTGTAGTGGCACGATCTCGGCTCACTGCAACCTCTGCCTCCCGGCTTCAAGCGATTCTCCTGCCTCAGCCTCCTGAGTTCCTGGGACTATAGACGCCCACCATCACGCCCAGCTAAATTTTGTATTTTTAGTAGAGACGGGGTTTCACCATGCAGGCCAGGCTGGTTTCAAACTCCTGACCTCGTGATCTGCCTGCTTCAGCCTCTTAAAGTGCTGGGATTACAGGCGTCAGCCACCTTGCCTGGCCAGTTCTTGAATTTTTTAAAGCTTGGCAGGTAATTCTAATGTGCAGCTAAGGTTGAAATCATTAGGATAAGAGGACAAATGAGGGAATGAAGAAATGAATGAATCTACAGTCTTACACTTCAGACTTCAAGTGTGTGTGTGTGTGTGTGTGTGTGTGTGTGTGTGTGTGTGTGTATTATCCATAATAATCACTGGGGAGGGCCGGGCGCGGTGGCTCACGCCTGTAATCCCAGCACTTTGGGAGGCCGAGGCGGGTGGATCACAAGGTCAAGAGATCGAGACCATCCTGGTCAACGCGATGAAACCCCCTCTCTACTAAAACTACAAAAAATTAGCTGGGCATGGTGGCGCGTGCCTGTAATCCCAGCTACTCAGGAGGCTGAGGCAGGAGAATTGCCTGAACCCAGGAGGCGGAGGTTGCGGTGAGCCGAGATCGCGCCATTGCACTCCAGCCTGGGCAACAAGAGTGAAACTCCGTCTCAAAAAAAAAAAAAAATCACTGGGGAGACTGAGGCTCACAGAGCAGAAAAAGGAACCATGTTTTTGAGGGACTGCTCTGTCATAAGCACTGGTCTAAATGCTTTAAATGCATTTTCTCGTGAATCCTCTAAACAACCCAGGAGGATGAATATTGTTATCCCATTTCACTGAAGTGGAGTGAAGACACCTAGAGGTTCAATGTCTTGCCTGCAGATATGTATTCAGTTATTAGCCGACACGGGAGTAGACCCAGGCCTCCTGAAGCCAATGCCAACCCCCACCCCTACCCTGAGCCCTGAAATGAGAAAGACCACACTGGGAAATGTGCCCCAAACCCAACCAGTGGCGGTCTCGTCTCAAAGAGCTCGTCAGGCCCTAGCTCTAGGAGCAGAGGAATGTTGGCTGGGCATGGTGGGGCCAAAAGTAATACCGCCTGCTCGACAAAACGAGGCTGAGGCTGGGGCAGGAGGTGGGGACAGCACAGACCCCTACGGTTCTCAGATGCCTTTTCTTAGGAAGGAAGGACTGACCCTCATTCTGAGATTCTAACCTTCTTATATTGTGTTAACAGGGAAAGTGAAACCAAATTATTTTATGATGTCATAAAATCATAAAATGTCATAAAATAATCCAATGGTCATTTTGATTCCCACCCTCCCACCATTGGCAAAATTAGAAGGTGTTAACCCTAAGCTGCTCTGATTGGTTGGTTTTTTTGTTGGTCCAAGAAAAAAAAAAAAAAAGGAAGTCAAAGGTTTCTCTGGGGAATTAAAGACAGACACCACCTAAGCGAAGAAACGGGAGAGAGAGAAGTGAAGGCAGCAGGTGAACCTGAATTTGTTTTGAGACTGAAGGTGTGGTACCAGGACTGTGGCGGTGAGGAAAGCACGTCCAGCTGGAGCCAGACTTTCTGGGGCGAGAGCCCAGCGACCTGACTTCACAGGCTCCCAGGTGATTGTGGCCAACTTTAAAAACCCCCGTACTTGCTTGTGAAGAGGCCGAGAGAAAGGGAAGCAGCTGGAGGGCCGGATGAGATGAAGGATGATTTGTATGGCTGTGGTTTTAATGTAGAAAATATTTCAGCTTTTTCATTTTTACTTTTTTATTGAAAGACAATATTCATATAGAAACGTACGCGTCATCAGTGCCCAGCTTGACACATTTTCACACTCAGGACACTCCTGTAACCAACGATCAGATGAAGAAACAACATCTTGACCGGGCGAGGTGGCTCATGCCTGGAATCCCAGGACTTTGGGAGGCCGAGGCGAGTGGATCACCTGAGGTCAGGCGTTCGAGACCAGCCTGGCCAACACGGTGAAGCCCTGTCTCTACTAAAAATACAAAAAATTAGCCAGGCGTGGAGGTGCACACCTGTAATCCCAGCTACTCGGGAGGCTGAGGCAAGAGAATTGCTTGAACCTGGGAGGTAGAGGTTGCAGTGAGCTGAGATTGTACCGTTGCACTCCAGCCTGGGCAAAAAAAAAAAAGAAAACTCTGTCTCAAAAAAAAAAGAAAGCACATCTCCAGCATCCCAGAAGCCCTCTCATCCCTACTTCTAAGGGCAGACTCGTTTTGCCTGTTTGTGTGCTTTATGTAAATGAAAGCATACCGCGTGTGCTGTCTCAGGCCTGGCAGGTTTCCCTCGTCCTTACGTTTGTCAGACCTGTGTATGTTATTTGCACATGACCGTAGATCGCTCGTTCTCATTGCTGCAGAATGGTCCGTTGTGACTTACATCACTCATTCTAGCGATCACGGATGTTTGACACTTTCCAACTGGAGGCATTACAAGTAGCGCTGTTTTGCAACAGGTCCTGGATGAGAATTCCAGAACGAACTTGGCAATGCTTGGTTTCCAGGCTGTGGTGTCACCTCCTGAACCAGAGTCGCATAACATGCCCAGAGAGTTCTCTTGTGAACCAAGTTCCTCCCCAGAGAAACCCAGACCCGGCGTAGCCTCAGGCTGAGCCTTGACTCTGGCCAGAGACCAGATACCCTGACGCCAGTACCTAGTCATGTGCTGACCCAAGCATGTGGGACCCCCAACCCAAGTCGCCATGTAACTGTAGCTCTAATTCAAGTCCACAGTTTCTAGGCTAGAGTCCTGGGTGGGATCCAAGGGCTACATTCCCCCAAGGGGAAAGGGGGGTGTCCAGCAGGTACCTGAGTGTCAAGGTCGCGGCGTTAGGGATGGGCTCCTCACTGAGCTGCGATCCCTGACAGGCTGTCACACTGGAAGCCGTGTCGTGAGAACTCCTTGGGCCTTGTGTCCTAATGGAGCAGGCTTATATGCAGCCTCCTTGGCCCCATGCCCTGCCCAGACCTGTTCTGGATTCCACCCCACCCTTCCCCAAGGTCGCTGCCACCTCCCACCTGCCAGGCTTGGGCAGGGCCTCTGAGACACGGCCAGGAAGGCTGGCAGGCAGGAGGGCTGGGGCAAGCACTGCGGGCCATGGAGGGGACAGCAGAGCCCGTAGTCTATCAGAAGCTGTTGCTCTGGGAGCCAAGTTTGGAGTCGGAGGAGGAAGAAGAGGAGGAGGAAGAGGAGACATCAGAGGCGCTGGTTTCCAACCCCTGGAGGCCCCAGGACTTTTCCGGGTAAGTAAGGGAGGGGTCTGGGGACCAATCTCCCCAGGCTTAGGGTTGGCAAGTCCCTCTCTCTGGAGCACCTCAGGGGGACCAGGCGACTCCCCATTGGGCTTAGCTCCAGGCACTGTCCCATCAACTTGGGGAAAACCTAGGCTGCAGCCCCAGACTTGGCCTGACCCAGTCACAGGTCTGTACATCTAGAGGGACATCGGTACCAAGCCAGCCTCTGTCCTGTCTGCTGCTCTGTCAAAGGTCCTCAGCCCCCAAGCCCTAGTACGGGAGGCACCTGCTGGGCAGGTTGGGGCCTGGCTACACCTGGCGGCACCTGCTCCCAGCCCCTTCTATCCTGCCTCCCACACCCCATTGGGCCTCCCTCCCACCTGATTCGACTCTGCCTCTCCAGTCTCCCCTCCAGAGGATCCCGCCTTAGCTAGCCTCAGTTTCCCCAATCCTTTCACAGCTCCATGTCTTTGCCTTAGCTGTGCCCACTGTGAAGAAGCCCTTTTCTCCTTGGCAGACTTGTACTCCTCTTGCTAAATCAAACCTTTTTTTTTTTGGAAACGAAGTCTCGCTGTGTCACCCAGGCTGGAATGCAGTGGTGCGATCTCCACTCACTGCAACCTCAACCTCCGCCTCCTGGGTTCAAGCAATTCTCCTACCTCAGCTTCCCAAGTAGCTGGGACTACCGTTGCATGCCACCATGCCCAGCTAATTTTTTTGTATTTTTAGTAGAGACGGGGTTTCACCACGTTAGCCAGGATGGTCTCAATCTCCTGACCTCGTGATCTGCCCGTTTCAGCCTCCCAAAGTGCTGAGATTACAGGTGTGAGCCACCATGCCCAGCGCTAAATCAAACCTTTTGGGAAACATTCCCTGGGGTCTCTCGGGGTTCCTGGGCATCTCTCTGTCCCAGCCGCAGCTCAGGACACCCCTCTGCAGGAACAAGGCTGGTGGGCTGCCCGGAACCTGGGCCCGTCTAGTGGCCGCCCTGCTGCTGCTGGCTGTGGGCTGCTCCCTGGCGCTGCGGCAGCTCCAGCATCAAGGCAGCCCCACAGGAAGCCTGGGCTCCGCGGCCCCTCCACCCGGCGGACACTCCCATGGCCCTGGTGTTTACCACCATGGCGCCATCATCAGCCCTACAGGTCAGTCATGCTCGTGGCGGCTCGGGGGAGGGAGGGTCAGGGGTCACCGGGCCCAGCCCCTCCCTGCTGTATGACAGTCCCCCTTCCTTGCTGCAGACACATGCTCCCACCTAGGCCGAGAGTTGCTTGTTGCCGGGGGCAACGTCGTGGATGCCGGCGTGGGAGCCGCTTTGTGTCTGGCGGTGGTGCATCCTCATGCCACGGGGCTAGGTCAGTGACCCTGGACCCCAGACCACAACCCCAGCCCACAGCCTGATCAGTGACCTGGGCCTCAGGGAGTCAGTAGCCCTGACCTCAAGGCTGCTCGGTGAGCAGGACCCAGGGTTTGGGCAGCAGTCCCCACCCCTTGAGCCAGGTCTGCGTCACCTTGACCTCAGGCCTGGTCAGTAACTCCTGATCCCAGACTCAGTCAAGGGATCTTGACTGAAACAAGTCAGCGGCCCTTGACCCGCGCCTGCCGAGTGACCCCTCTGTCTCTTGCAGGTGCCATGTTTTGGGGCCTCTTCCACAATAGCTCCTCAGGCAATTCCACGGCCCTGACATCAGGCCCAGCACAGACCCTGGCCCCTGGACTGGCGCTGCCCGCAGCTCTGCCCACCCTGCACCTGCTGCACGCACACTTTGGCCGCCTGCCCTGGCCACGCCTGCTAGTGGGCCCCACCATGCTGGCTCAGGAGGGCTTCCTGGTGGACACGCCCCTGGCAAGGGCTCTGGCAGCTCGGGGCACAGAAGGCCTCTGTCCACTGCTTTGCCATCCTGATGGAACCCCGCTGGGCGCTGGAGCCCGAGCCACCAACCCACAGCTGGCAGCCGTGCTTCACAGGGCAGCCCTCGCTCCCACCTCAGACCTTGCCGGGGACGCACTACTGAGTCTGCTGGCAAGAGACCTGGGGGTGGAGGTGCCCTCAGCTGGGCCCAGGCCCACTTTGGAACCAGCACAGCAGCTACCCATGGCCCAGGGCATCCTGTTCACCACCCCCAGTCCCTCAGCTGGCCCAGAGCTGCTGGCACTGCTGGAGGCAGCCCTACGGTCTGGGGCACCCAGCCCTGACCCCTGCCCACCAGTCCTGCAAACTGCCATGAGCCCCGAGAGCAGCACCCTGGCCACCGTGGACAGCAGCGGCTCTGTGCTCCTTCTCACCTCCTCGCTCAATGGCTCCTTTGGTTCTGCATATCTGTCCCCAGGCACAGGGGTTCTGCTCAGCAACATGACGGCCAAGTCTACCGCTACTGCCTGGGCCTGCCCCCTCATCCTCCGGGGCAGCCTGGATGACACAGAGGCCAATGTGTTGGGGCTAGTGGCTTCAGGGACCCCTGAAATGGCCAGAGTCATGACTCACACCATACTCAGCCACCTGGCAGAGCCCCAAACCCAGGCCCAGCACCAGCACCAGGGCCAGCAAGAACCAACAGTGCAGCCCAGCACTTGTGGCCAAGGGACCCTGCTCCAGGTGGCAGCCTATGCAGAGCACGCCCACGTCTCCAGTGTCCCCCACGGCTGCTGTCCCTACCAGGGGATCTAACAGGATGGGGGTGGGTCTGGTACAAGGCAGGGTTATCTGAAGCCTGGGGCAGGAGCAGAGCAGACCCAGCAGCAATGGAGTGTACCCCAGCTCACACCTGTCATCTCAAGCACTTTGGGTGGTCAAGGCAGGAAGATCCCTTGAGCCCAGGAATTTGAAACCAGCCTAGACAGCATCGCAAGATCTCATCTGTACCAAAAAGTTTTAAAATCGCCAGGTGCAGTGGCAGATGCCTGTTGTCCCAGCTACCTAGGAGGCTGAGGCGGGAAGCTTGCTTGAGCCGGGAGTTCAAGGCTGCAGGAAGCTAGGATTACACCACTGCACTCCAGCCTGGACAACATAGTGAGACCCTGTCTTTTGAAAAAAAAAAATAATAACAATGGCCGGGTGTGGTGGCTCATGCCTGTAATCCGAGCACTTTGGGAGGCCGAGGCGGGCAGATCACCTGAGGCTAGGAGTTTGAGACCAGCCTGGGCAGTATGGCAAAACCCCATCTCCACTAAAAATATTAAAAAATTAGCTGAGTGTGGTGGTGCACGCCTGTAATCCCAGCTAGTTGGGAGGCTGAGGCAGGAGAATTGCTTGAACCTGGGAGGTGGAGGTTGCAGTGAGCCAAGATCACACCACTGCACTCCAACCAGGGCAGCAAGAGTGAAACCTCATTTAAAAAAAAAAACAGTGTGCATCTATTATGTGCTCACTACTGGCTCAGGCCCCAACCTCTGGCCTTTTCCGTTAGCTAGATTTGAGCTGTAGCATCCAGGGCTAGCACAATCATTCTTCAAACCACCCACACTGAGGGAATCGCTGGCTCCTTTACCAGCTAAGGAACACGAGAGTAATGAGGAAAAAGTAACAGAGCCTGGGGCAAGCACTGAGTTCAGATCCAGCTTTCGGAAGGACAGCAGAAAGAGTGCAGAGCCTCTGCCTCGGCAAGCGCTGGGCCCAGGGAGCAGGCAGGCAGAGCCCAGGGTACTGCTGGCATCGCCGCCCTTCCCTTCAGGGCACCCTCTACCTATCTTCCTCAATCAGACTGATACAAAATAAAGATCAAGTCTCCGGGAGGCCAAGCACTGTTCCTGCTTCTTGGTTAATTTCCCATTAGCCTTTGAAGCAACTGGAGTAGGGGCTTCCCTGATGGGCAGCACAGATGACCAGTAACCAGACAGGGGAGAGCCTGGGTTGGTATCTTTCAGCTTCCCCGGCTCAGCTCACCTCCTGCCTCCAGGGGCACTAGACGTGCGAGGTGAAGGTTCTAATCTCACTTTCTAGAACAGACAGCAAAGCAGGGAAGCGGTTGAGAGGGTGAGCAGAAGGTGCCCCAGGGGCTTGGGTACAAAAGGGGTTGGAGTTGAGCATGTAGAAATTCAAGGTGAAGGGTAGCCCTGGCCTCCCCGCAGGGTTAGGTCCTCTCTGGACCACAGCCCTCTAAAACCAGCTTCTCAAACCAGGAAGCAAGGGTGACCAGCAGCACTTCCCTCCCCTGCCATTGCAAAAGGCTTCTCTGATTTACTAGACCCTTTGATCCCACCACCTCCACCTCCTACTCCCAAGAAAATTCTTCTCCAGCTCAGTAATGGCACCACAATGTATCTGGCTATTTTAGTCCCAAACCTGGCATCCCCCTCACTTCCTCTCCCCCCACGTCCAATCCATCACACACCCCAACTGCTCCACATCAGCCCACATCTGACCTGTTCTCATTTCCCTGGGTCCAGTCCACCACTGTCTCTAACTGGTCTTCCTGTTCTTCCACTTGTGCGGACCTACAATCCATCATCCCCCACACAGCAGCCGGCATCACCTGGTGAAAATTTAAATCGGATCCAGGCCTGCCCCTGCATTAAACTCACCAATGACTTCCTACCACACTCAGAATGAAATCCTAGCCTGGGGCACTAGGCAACCTTGCTTCTCTGAGCCACCTGCTAGCCTTAGCCCCTGCAGTCCTGGGCCTTTGCAGTTACAAGGATTGGGATTTCCTCCCCTTAGATCCTTGCAGGAGTGTGGGGGAGGGCTTCTTGACACTCAGCTCTCAGCCCAAATGCCAGCCACTTCCTCACAGAGGCCTTCCCTGAGCGACCCCTCAAATCATTACCATAGATTCTGTTGAATAATAATTAGCCGTTGTTGGAAATAGATGCTCAGTGCTGCAAAGAAAACCCGGCACTGATACAAAGGATCTTTTAGCAACGCAATTTTTGCTTCCTGGGCTACAGGAAGGGTTCTCTCACTAGCCATCTTGCCACAAGAATACGAAGAATGAAAGAAAGCAGACATATTTATTTCTCAGGCCTGGACGCTCTTTCACCCCGCTTACAAAGCAGGGGGAAGGGCAGGTAGAATGAGGTGATGACCGTCAGTGAAAGGTCAGGTAAACCACGTGTCTTGGAGACTGAGGACCAGGAAAGGAGAAAACCTAAGGCATCAGCACTTTTTTCATACTTGTCAAGAAATAACAAGGGCACTACGATTTATGTTACTTTTATCTTCTAAGAAAAAGAGGAACCAGGTGCAGAAGCAGAACTTGTAAGTAGCCACGGAACGTGACCACTGAAGCACAGCACCACAGAGACACAGTTAAGTCCCCAGGTGTCTGTGGGCCTCCCTGACAGCATCAGGCCTGCCACAAGAGCTTGGGGGAGCGGAGTTTTCTCCTCACTCCCCCAGGAAGGAGACGTCTCGGCCATGTTTGACGTCTCCTTCCCTAGCTGGCTAAACCGGGCGCTTTCACAGGGCTGACACTGCCGCACAGCCCAGGAGTCCTCCAGCAGCCCTATGCGGGCGTGACAGATGGCTTAGGGCATCTGGCCTTAGGGTCACCTCTTTTCCAATGCCACGTCAGTCCCATACTTCCTGAGACTTGTTAGCAAGATTAGAGATGATATCATTACATACA